AGATGTGTTTGAATCAACGATTTGTGTTTTGTAGGAGCTGGACAGTTGGGAAATAACACAACAGAAGTCTTGGATCAATGTCCACTGAAGTCTGTGGAAAGCTTTATGCCAATTTCAGTTGGCCTTTTGTCAAGTTTTTTAAAACTTTGCACGACTATTTGGAACTATTTTAATGGGTGTGAAACTACATTTAACTCTTCCTTTTGAGAGATTTTTCATCTTGAGTACATGCACACCCATCTAATGGAATAGACTTCATTGATTGGCCATTGTTTTATCTGCTCTCAGTTTAGACACAGTGTTTTTTTAACACCTAATTTTATGTATATGCTCATAACACTGACTAAATCATTCTGGATATAAATAGTATTCCTTAGACAATACATGCAAACTTTTTAGCACTTTATTTAGTTGAGATGCTCCTGTCTTCGTACAAACTATAATTTAACTTTGCGTCAGTCGGTATTAAGTAGTTATGTTTAGCAGAGATATTGCGGTTCATTTATTCATATGTTTTAATTCTCAGTTTCACTTCATTATGTTTCTTACCTCATTATTTGCATCTGGTTTATGAAACTCCTGTAACTTTAATATGCATATGGCCAAGCTGTTGCCTTTAATTTAATTAGCATGTAATGAAAATGCCTTGTACACAAACAGAGAACCCACAGCCATGAGGGTCTTCTAGTTTAGAGCAAGGGTTTGTCTACTGTCTCAGAACTTAGCTTTGTTAAATTATAGGCAAGAAATATAAGTTCTGAAAATCCTTCGCTCACTGTCACTGCTGTGTTTTTTATGGAGTGTCTGTTTTTTGGAGATGCTGAAACCTCAAAATTAATTAGGTTTACGGGCTGGTAATCTGCCAAAGGCTTCACTCAGAGTCTAAGAACACAGGGGGCGACAAATGGGAGCAGCCTTTGTGCTGTTCCAGTAAAAGGCCAATGAGACCTGTTAGAAATAGATACGTTAGCATGTGACTCTCAAAACCGTTCCATGTGGGTCTAAAATCAGTGGAAGATTTACCTGGTTTTGTATAGCTAAGATGAACTTTCAGTGGTTTAAAAAATTCTCCTTATTTCTCAGTTTATAATCTAACTTCAATTAAAAAAAATCTTGAAGCAGGCAGTTTATTATCATTTCCCTTGTCTAAATTTCTTTTTGAGATGCTTCCTCCTTTTGAAACACACCAAGAAAACAGAACAAGTGCCTTACCTTGGTGGTAACACCCTGATACTGAGGAATTTCACAAAGACGTATTGGATCTGACAATTCCTTTAGTCCAGAGCTAAGCAAACATTTCATAACAAATAACAAGTGGGAGGAATGTTGCCTTCTCATCTCTTCTCAACTTTTCTGCAAACAAAGTGCAAGTTCCTCTAATTTATTGATTCAGAATTATTTTCTGACCACACAGATCAACGTATGTCTTTCCGTTTACTTTCCAATGGCATGGAATATCCCTTACGGAAGGATAGCAAATATGTGTTGTGAGGGAAGAACCAGAGAACAGCAAATTCCAACTGAGCAATCTCTTGGGTTTTCCTTCCCACCATATTCTCACAATTACTGCTATTATTAGTGATAGCCACAGTGGGAGAGAGAGGGAATAGACAGGAGTCCCTGGTCTTTTTCATGCTGTGTTGTCTAGACTTAGTAAGAATGTTAGATTTTGTCATCCTGCTTCCTCTCATGGTGTTATAATTGCAGAGAATCTGAAATAAAAATGGAGTTTTGACCTATCCGACCCTCTCCTTGTTGGTCCCAAACCCATCAAAGTTAATGGAAAGATATCATTGAGTTCTGATTCAAGGAAAATCACATGTATACTTAAAGTTATGCTGGCAATAGGAAAACTAATGCATAAATTTCCATGACAGTTTTGACAGCATTTGTTCATCTACTGAAGTATTTGAGCTGGATAAACATATTGCATCTAACTCACAATTAGAGAGGTGTTTCATGTATTTGTAAAAAAAATTCCCAGAAACACTTTTTTTTTTAACACTTACATTGCCCAGGAGTACAGACAATCCAAAATCTGGCCTTCAAGAAACTGGAATTCTTTGACAGTGTCAAGTTAGAAAAGATGATTCTGTGCTAGTATTCTGCCTCTGTGCTCTAGCATTTCTCAGCTGGCATATTTTCTAGCCAACATGACCATAGCCATAGGCCACTTTGCTTTACCTAAGGCTAAAATTCAAGAACCTGCCAGAAAAGTATCTGGCAGTTATTGCCCAACTGCGCCCTTTTCAGCGATCCAGAGGACTGCATCTCTGTCAGAAGTCAGCTCAGCGTTCTCAGCATTACTTTGAGATTGTGTAATAATCTCTTACTAAAGAGATTATTTTAATATGAATCCTTGAAACCATCCCATACCTGGAAGAAATGGAAAATGGTCTGTGATTGAATGTGTCCAGACTGCTCTGTGGCACTTCTCCTTTCTTCTTGACAACTTCATAAAACTAGATGTTATCAAAAAAGAAGGTATCTTTCATTCACACAACATTTTTCAATTTGGAGGTTGTGTCTGATGTAAAACCCAAATGAAAGAAATCTTATTGGAGATTTAGGGTCATTTCTGCCAAAAAAAAAGTGAATACATTTGTAAGGCACTCAGTCAGCTACAACCTATGTAAAGGTGCAGCAATATACGTGCAGTAAAGGGCCCAGAATTCAGTTCACTTTCCGCCCCCCTCCAGAATTCTCAATCCACCATTCTAATGTTAAATATAGAAATTACATTTGGGGCTGAAACTCGGTGTACATCAGGGACAGTTTCTTACAGGAAAATGTAGAACCCCCTTTGTTCCATATGGTTTGAATCATTTACAAAATGAATCCTACAGGAATAATTTCAGATGTGGAAACCTTTAAAATGAGGAAATAAAAACCAGATTCACTACATTTCTGTTTTCCAGCTGAAAAAAAAAAATCATTTAGCAGTGCCCAGTTATCAGTGCACTCTAGTAGATAAAGATTGCCTCTCAAAACCACTTTTAAATTGTGTGATGACACACATCATAAGGATTAAAATATTAGTCTTCTTCCCTACAGGAAAGTACTTTGTCATGATCAAATGTGATCTGACATTTGAAATATGCCAGCTTATTGCAGTGAGCAGGCAAGTTGAATTCTTGTCAATTATTTAAAGCCTGCCTCTTATTGACAGAGGCACTTTTAACCTTCATTGAGAATGTTAAGTAGATACAGGCTGAGATACATAGTTATGAATTCATGTTGAAGAAAGGAGAGGGGGCAAATTGTTAATCCGAATATCATCTATGTTTGTTTTCATATTATTTTTCAGGAGGCAATTAGACCTTCCCAGTTCATAATACGGAATCTCTTCTATTGTCAAAATTAAGATCATAGTATGGTTTTATGAGCGCTATTATTAGGCTCCTGTGAAAGATGCTTTTATTGGGGAGTACTGCAAAGATACCTTTGATTTGGAAAGACAGAAGTGAATTTCCATGAAAAGGGCATAATGCATGACTATAGCCTGTTGAGGACCTGTATATGTCTGATAAATCTTTTCAGCTGGAATAGACTTAAAGTCAGTTTTAGCATTAGCTTAGTAAATAGTTAAAGCTGTGAAGATTTCATATCTAACTTTCTATTTTCACTTGCTTTTCATTTTCTGTTGAGTTTTCCTCATGGGAAACAGGTCTGAAAGTGCAGAAAATTCCACAAATCCTTAAGAAATACAATGCTTACATTAGGCATTCAAACTGCTCTCCTTCTGATACCCTTGGCATTCTGGTCCTAGGAGGTTAGGCTAAAGAAAAGCATCCATTTCAGTAGGGAATAGGTGATACATGTCTAATATGTGCATTTTCAAAGAATACTGTTTGAGGAAGGAGGTGGAATCATGATCTGGGAGGACTTAAGATGTCGGGGAAGATGGTTTGCAATTGACATTTGTTTGTCTGCACATATTTTTCTGAAGCATAAGAGATATGTAGTCCTCGTGGGATGTCAATTTTGGCAGGAGGGTGTTGGCACATGGTAGAGCCTCACTGATCCAAAACAAAAGTCTGTATCTAGTATTACGTATATAATGTAATAGAATTACCTGATGAAACTTCTTCTTGGTTTTTGACTTGGTAAAAAGGAGTGTTTATTACAACATGTTTTACAAAACCAAGAATGAAATAAAATTATAACTGATTAATGAGCTGCATGGAAATACTTCCTCAGTGCCACCCACATTTCCCTGGCCCTGATCCTGGAAACACTTCATCCCATGTGCAGTTTTATGCACAGATACTATGTGAAAAATACAATGTAGTTTTCCCATACTTACTTCTGTCTTTCAGGGATCCAAGAAGGAAAACAATCAGATACTTGCTTCCACGGATCAGTTTTCTCTTGTAGGAGGGCACAAATTTTAAACTGCCTTTATGATGATTAAATTGTGAGGAGTTGATTACTGAATGATAGTACTAAAATGTTCAGATGCTTCAACTTTGTGCTGCTGTACCATAATGTGCTTATGTTTCTACTTAGAGTAACTTTAAATCTGGGATTCCCGTCTGGTAATACCTTGTTCTGAAAAAAACCTGAACCTTAATTAAAATATTTTGTTTTACTAATGTATGCATTTATTAGAAGTTGCATTTTCCAAAAGCATTTTCTTTTTATGTGAGACTGTATACCCTGTACACAAACACACATACAAACATATCTATACTGTGAAGAATGGATTAATATTGCATATGAAATTATTCATGGTACTGTGTGAAGGTGCTATGCTGCCAGTCCCACAACATTCTTGGTTTGTGTGTTACCAAATGTGAAACCTGGTCATCTCCAAAGTGAAACAATGCGTACTTTAATTGGGAAGACTATCTAGATTATATCTTGAGTAAATCTAATTTAGAGGAGCACATTTCAATCTGTCTGGGCTTTGAAGGGAGGTCACTATAAGAGCTAGCATGTTCCAGCTGTGAACCTTGACAGTCTTTTCTCTAATTTGTGGTGGTGTTTCTTTTTTTTAGTCAGGTTTGATAAGGACACGGAAGATCGAGTTCCTTATATCTCCATTACCTCAGCAGCTAGCACAGGAGCACAACTACACATCACCTGCTGGACACCATCCTCATGTATTATATAAACGAACTGCAGAAGAGAAGGTGCACCGGTACACAGTAGAGTCCAATCCCAAATACTTTTCTTTTGGTCATCACAGAATTCACACTTCCCACAAGTATCATGCTCAAGCGAATGGTTACCACCATGGAAGGTTTCAAAAGCAACATTTTTGTGGACGTCGCAAGAAATGTATGTAAGGAAACTTTCTCTCCTTGTTTGAGATAGTGGCTCTTAGAGACTGTATGGTGATTCTGAGGTGTGGTTCGTAGTCACCTTTGTGATGGAGATATAGTATTTTTAAATTATACATTTATAAAGTGAAATAGATATGACAAACTTGATTATTCCTTTAAATTGATGTCATCATCTGTTTTATTAAGCCATCAGAATTGCTGTTTAGTTTTCTTATTCTCTACCTAGATTAAAAGATGCCTTGCCTGATTTTTTTTTACATTGACATAGTTTTCAGTAAGCAATTCTGTTTTAGATTGCTGCTTTTGCAGGGTGATGGATGCCAAGTCACTGAACTGCTGTCTGTTAGTTTGGGGATATATAACTAATTAGGCTTGAAGATGGAGAAAAAGTCTTCCAAGTCATTAATTTCTGAGAGGAAGTCTTTCAGAACTCACCATTTGATAATGAAATTTTCAGCAACGGAGATCTTCAGAAAGAACCTGCCATGTAAATTGTTTAAATAAGATTTTGGAGCCACCTCTTAAAAAAAATATTGGAATATATTATCCTGCCAAGGTCTATTCTGAGTCCTTCATTAGGCCCTCAAATTGCAGAACATTTTAGAGCCTCCTTGGACCCTGTATCTGTACTTACAGCATTCAGTTGATTCTTTTTGAAAGCTGAGCTGCTTCTGAGCTGAGTTTCTTAATGAGGGTCTCCAGGACTGCACACAGTTTTGAAAACATTGTCACAGTCCAGTTATATTCTTCCAACTTCCTACTAGGGTTCTGAGAAAATAAGCAGGTTCCTTTTCCAAAAGGCATGTAAGGAAGAAAGAGAAAAACAAATAGAAGGGAAGGAATGAGAAAGCAGGTAGTGGAAAAGGTGACTGTCTGAGACTGAGGCCTATTTGAGGCCTGAAAACTGCTTATTAAAAATTGACTGCTTCTTCAAAAATCCTTCTTCCTAGATTTGAAATCTAGACCTCAAATGCCAGATGCACAAGCCTATGATTCAACCTGTAAACATTTGCATTCTGATGCTGTTCAAAACTACTTCATTACATACTCCCTTTCCCTCCTGTCTGGTTTTCCTGCTGTCTGCTTCAGGGCAGAGGGTAATTGTGCTCTACACTGGTCTACAGTGTTTTATTTTATTTGCATTGTCCACTGTGGTCTTGCACCTTATTTACTGTACCCCCTGTGACTGCTTGTCCAAATTCAGAATTATTCATGTCCTCCTGAGCTTTTACATGATGCTTATCCTATAATAAATGAGTGCATTTTGAACAGTGTATTTTCATAACCTCCTGGGATGTGAGAAGATATTTTCATATTCCTGTCTTACAAATGCTACTCACAGACACAGGAGAGGTCAAAAATAACCATTGATTCTGGGTACCAAATCAATAAACTGAGTTTTTCTTTAAAATACTTATCAAAATATGTGCTACTGTAAAAAAACATGTGTATCTATATATTCAATCATTTCAGTTACAACTATAAATTCTTAGCTGCATATTCAAGCTGGGTTTATGTTACATGAAGAACATGCAATTAGCATCCAACCATGATGAGTTTAGTAGAAGTGATTTACCCATCATTGCTTAGGAACTCAGCGTCAGATGCATTGTTAGAATCCAATTAAGCAAGATTGCATTTAATTACCTTAACCATGAAACTCCTTCTTTTCACATTCTGCAGTCTTTCACTTCATGCAATACATACCTGTAACCTTCTGAGAGAAAGGAAGGAGGAGTTCTAAAAAATAACAACCTATTTCCATACGCAGCCTTGCTTAATCCGTAGAACAAGTCGATCTCATGTTCCCTGAATGAATGCAGTCCTACAGATAAAATCATGTGTGATCATTTAATTGAGTAGGGGCAAATATAGAATGTAGAAGAAAAACATATCACTCCAGTAAACGCAACACCCCTTCTATAAGTAATGGGGCTTTTTTCTTCTTCTTCCTTTCTTTTTTTTACATTGTTTTCCTGGTCTTGTTCTAAGATCTGGAGTCCTATCAGTTTGAAATTTTCAGCAAAATCTAGTCTGGTCACCTGGAATAGAAAATTTCAGCTTGAATGAGCAAAGACATTGAGAATGCAGTCTTACAGAAGGCAGGCCTTTGCTATTAATACTGTCTAGTCAAGGTTAATTTATCCTAATCTAAGAATGAATCCAAGCTTGCTGAACAGTAAGAGGGAAGAGCACACTGCCACTTTTAGTGTCATAAAAGTAGCTTGTCCCACTCACCATCTTTTAAAATTTCATATGCTGGCAATTTGTAAGCACTAGAGAAGCCAGTTAATCATCTTTCAAACTCTTCTTCACAATCTAAATGTTTTTAGATCATGAGAATTGTCTGGACTGTAGTTAGCAAATCATGCTTGAAACATTGCTGCTGCTTATGTTTTATTAGTAGCAGTGAAGTAAATTCAAGAGCAAAACTCCACTGCTCATGGATTTATAAGGTAAATGCCGTGAAGTTGTATTGCCTTCAAAATAGTATATGCAAACTGATGTGCCTTGAACTGAATGCTTCACTCTTGGATGAGGCATGTCTTCATGTTTTGACGTGCTTCCAGAAGAGAAAAGTTCTTTGAGCTTGTAAAGTACAATTGTTTATAATTAGTGATACATTTTAAAATCTTACTAGCACAGTCACTTGCAATGTTATAGTTCAGAGTGACTTAGCTCTTGAAAGCAGACGACTATTGTGCATTCTATGGTATTCTTGATTTCCCAGTTTGGCATGAAAGGAAGTAGCATCTGTTCTAGCTGTGTCATTGGAATAACTTTCTGATGAGGCACAGGCAGGATTTTTTTAATTACCTGAGGTTCCCTCACTTGTGTCATGTTACATTCTGTGTCAAAAAAAATCCTATTGTTATCCAAATAGTATGTTGAAGTGGCCTTTGAATTAATTCTTGATGCAAAGGCAGTGTAGGTTTATGCAAAAGAAGCTATGAATAACAGGAGCATTCTAGGATGTAGGATATAGATTTCTTTTTCCATTTTCTGGCTCTCTGAAGAAATGGAGTAGAGACCATTCTCTAACCATGCCATTGACCATGGTACACAAGCACAGAGGGAAAAAGTGCACCCTGGCATTGGGGCGTGTGGGCTGGATGCGCGTACCCTGTTGTCAAGCCCTTCTTGCTGTTGCCTGACATTTCCCAGCACTAAATAAATAAAAAAAAGCAGGAATAATCTCAGTGGCAAATTCGCATAGAAGGCTAATGTCAGTCACAATAGCAGGCTGGCAGGAATCTTACTTGTGGTGTGTGTCTGCTTTCTGTACTGACGGTGGACATCTGTTGTGGAAAGGAGTTTTTTACCAACTGCTATGTAAGTAGCACATGCCAAACACCTCAGGAAGTTATCAAAAGGAAGGAAAAATGTAGATCTTCTGTTAAAAATTCTGTGTGTCTTTTTTGCCACAGATGCTACCATTTTATTAGATTAATTCCTTATTTTAAACTGCTTATTGCATATGAATGTGGTTCTCCCATTTCATTCTCTCCCTGTAGCCATCCTTCCCTCAGGAATGAATCAGGTCTTTTTTGATAAATACACAAGAACTTAGCCATAAGTATTAAATCACATGCTGTAAAAATAATCTAAGGCTCTAAACCTGTGATACTTCATTTTCTGATGAAACTGTTCATGGGTGATCTGAACCCTTTCCAAACCTGAGTTTTATTTCCTTTTAGATGCACCTAAGCCACCCACAGAAGAGACATACATTCTCTCGGATGAATATGGGACTTCTGCAAGGTTCAAAAGATCATCTGCTAAAATTCAGAAAAATGGAAGTCTAAATGTTGAAACCCTTGTTGTGGCAGATAAAAAAATGTTGGAGAAACATGGCAAGGAAAACGTAACAACGTACATCTTAACAGTTATGAATATGGTAAGATGTGGTGTAACTGAAGTATTTTTTCCCTGGGGAATATTGTTATGTCAGAGTAGGATCTTTCATTAGATAAATAGGGATACCAAAAAGAGCAGGGGCACCTTACACAAGCCTTTCTTCAAGCCTCATCTGATGTATTACTTACATCAAAAAGCTCTTGAAAAACACATCCCTAGATTATCACAGCTCTGGCAACAGTACTGTAGGGTTAAAAAAAAAAAAGAAAAATTGGAAAATATTTCAAATGTTAAATTTTAAAATACTTCTTGTGTAGTACAAAAAAGGCAGGTACTCTGAAATTGAAACTTTCATATTTTAGTATCATGAAGCTTAGTCTGTTTTGTCTGATGTCTCTCCTTGAAACAAAAATTTATTTGAGAAAGCACAAATTTATTTTGAGAAATATAATTTAACTAGAAATATGTTTTCCATTGTGGCTTTGCTCTTTAGTTTTCTACTACAAAACTTGAAGTTGAACTTTGAACTTGATTGCACTTGATCCAGGAGACCAAGGACAGAACAAAGCCCATTGAAATCAATAGGTTTTCAAGTTTTTTGAATAAGCGTAGTGGTTTGGGGCATAATTCTTCTGGGTTAAGCTCTTTTGGATTAATCCCACAAGGTATATACTCCATTAATTTGTGTTGAAAATTGAAGCCCAATGCAATGACTCAATACATATGCTTAGTCTATTAAAAAAAAATACATGTAGATGATATTTCCTCTTCAATAATCGCTGCAGGTCTCTAGTCTGTTTAAAGATGGAACAATTGGAAGTGATATAAACATTATCGTTGTGAGCCTTCTTCTTTTGGAACAAGATCCTGTAAGTTGTGTCAGAATTTTTATGTGGCATACTTCATTTGCTACTGTTCAAAGGGAGCATTGGGCATTCCCACATTATGTACTTGAACTTTCATTAGAGGTTTCTTAAGACATAAAGCATGAGAAGAAGATTAAAATCACAAAAACCTCCAAAATCACACTTTCCGCATTTTACTGCTGCTCAGTTTTTCATACCAAAATCTTCATTTCTTATAAATGTTCTTTAGAAACATTGAAATGCTTCCAGTAAGATAAAACACAACAATTTCCAGCATTTTCTTGAAGAGTAATGGCTGGAATGAGAAATCTACTTAAGAAGTATTTAAATAAATAAAAAGATTTTGAACTGGGCTTTCCAGGATGTGATGACCATAAGGGGGAAGGAGTCAAAAGTCCCAAACTCAAGATAGCATGTAACAAAAGGTGGGAGTGGAGCCAATTCTTTTGTTAAGTATGCTGAGACAAAAGAAGACAAAATCTCTTTTGATGAAAAGAAATTTGTGATGGGTTGACCTACTTGGATAATACTTTTGCTCCACAGAAGTCTCCAAACATTTTAATCACAAGGTTGAAAATGGTTTAGTGTTCAGCTTTATCAAGAATCAAATGTATTTGTACACTGTAATTCCAACCACTGACTTTGAAAATATCTATGTGTCTGGGGAGAGATGCAGTTTTATTTTACAATTGTAATAGATTCACTCATCAGCTGAATCGGTCATCACAGACAGTTAACATAGGAATACATAAGTTTATGTAGAACAAATATGAAAAAGTAATTCCCTTTTCCCTAACCAACTCTTATTCTTTCAATCACCTTTCTCAAGTACTGATGGAAGCACCTTATTTCTGTGTCTGTGAAATATCTACAGGGTGGATTACTGATTAACCACCATGCGGACCAGTCACTGAACAGCTTTTGTCAATGGCAATCTGCTCTGGTTGGGAAGAATGGAAAGCGCCATGACCATGCCATCTTGCTTACAGGTTTTGATATCTGCTCTTGGAAAAATGAGCCCTGTGATACTTTAGGTATGACATGAAAACACATTCTGAGAAACTCGTGGGTATCAACAGCAGCATCTTGATTGATAGAGACTGAAATATTTTAAAATAAAAATGTCCATTTTTGCACATAATGTTAGCCTTCTTGAAGAGGAAAGAACAGTATTATTTTTATATATTTGTCTTTGAGGAACCTAGAAGAAAAAGAGTATTACTGGTATTGTTGCCCCAGAAAAAGTGGCAAAATAAGCTATCTGAAGACATCCTTTTGGATTGTCACCTCTTCAAGGAATATTTTTGGTTTTGAGAATATTTCTGAGCGTCTCTGATAAATTTTTTTTTTTTTTTTGTGGCTACTTGCCCTTTTTGAATGGGATTCCTCCCTAATTTGGGAGCAGTAAAGGCATGAGGGGGGGAAAGAATAATCTTCACAAGCAAAGTGTATTTTGGGAGGTTAGGTTTGAATTATACTTCTTATACAAGAGTCCCTTTATTGTCAAATAAAAGTCTGCTGTAATTCTTTCATAATAAACCTGATGAAGTAGACAACCATCTTCATGCACCACAATAGACTGACTTATTAGGACCAGTGCAGATGATACATGTATTTGGAATTCTGTAGATGAACAAGCTATTCTACTGCTTCCTTCCTTCAGGATTTGCTCCTATCAGTGGCATGTGCAGCAAATATCGTAGTTGCACCATTAATGAAGATACAGGCCTTGGACTGGCTTTTACAATTGCTCATGAATCTGGACACAAGTAAGTTTTATGAGTCTTACATGCTCCTTCTATAAATAAATATGTAAGTGAATGGAAACATAGCACCAGCTAATATTAATCAGTCAAATATGGATCATTTATAGAGAGCTATATAATGATTAGAATATATAGAGCATCCAGTTAATGCATTGGCCTTATTAAAGATCATCTCTTCAACAGTCATAAAAATAACTACAGTGGGATTTTGATTGATTTTGCTGCCATAGGCGGAGGGACCTTATTTTGATACAGGTACCTCACAACTGTTTCTAATTTGATGGGAAGCTATAGGCAATTTCAGGCTAAACAGAGTCAAGACTCTTCCTTTAGCATGAAATGGTGAATCAGCTGCCCAGGGTGCTTTTCTTTTATTTTTATTTTTTGACATTTTATATATTCCAGGTGATAACCAGAACAAACAGTAAAAGCTGACAACAATAATCTACAAGCTTCCCACACTGCTACCATGTTCGGGTAGACGAACCCGTGTATCAGTGTGGTTGCTCCAAAAAGAGAAAGGACACTGCAGCTTACAGTATGGAGAAGTGATCTCTCTGAGTCTCTTGAGGTCCCTTTCCCAAAAGACCCAGTGTTTCATAGGATGTGGGAGCCATTCATGCCATTCAGCCTGTCCTTCTTTGTTCTCTCTAGCTATTTAATGCATGATTTGGCTAAAAACAACCTTTGTGGTGGTTTCTGCCTTTCTGTATCTATATCCATTGGATTTCCATTTGATTTCTATGGTAATAAGACTGTAATTTTCCTAAGAACCTGCTGTCTCTCAAACAAAATCAGTAGTAATCTTCCATGGAGCTTCAGCTATTCTCTGAATTGTTGAATTAAATCTAAAGAAGATGATTAGGTTTTGCTCTCCTGTTTTTTTCCCCAAATAATTTTTAATTACTTTTTCACAACTTTTTGCATGATTTTGATTTTCAGTTTTAACATAGCTCAAGCTGCAGTCTGTCTAACCACTGGCAGTATAGAAGCATAGTTTCTCTATGTGGTACAAACCTGAAATCAAGGGTCAGATAAAACGTGGGCATCGAATCTTTGCTTTGTGCAGCAACATTACTGCACAGAATATCTTTGAAAAGCAGTGGTACTGTATTCTGCTTTTTGGTCAAGGCATGAATACTTCCAATTCTGCATGACTGAATCAGGACTATTTAGTTTTCATTGTACAAATACGCTCTACAGTATATACTATGACCTAATGTCTACATGAGTGACCCTTTCACAGGTTTCTGTACATCTGAAGGGAAACAAGGAATTAAAGAATAATCCAGCTACCAGTGAAGCCCATGGGAATTGTGCCAACGCTTTCAGTGGGACCAAATATGTAAAATATATATATTGTTTGATCCTCTTGTCACACTAATGCAATTTCACTGACTTCAGTACATTTTTAATGTCCTTCAATCAGTATTAGGAGAGAATCAGGCCGATAGCTTATTTTTCAGGAATTATCCCCTTTAGTCTCTTAAAGTCCTTCCTTCCTGTTTATTTTCTTATTTGCTTTGAGAGAAATTTTTTAATGTTGTTTTTTTCTTTTTCACCACTGCCTTTGATTCTCATATTATTCAGCCTTTCTTTGGTACAGTTCCATACTCCTGTCTAATAAAATACATCTTATCTCCTGGAAAAAATCTGCCCCAGATACAAAATGCCTTTATTATCATTTGTTTGCATTCATGTTCCTGAGACTACCTAGTATGTGATGTAAGACAACAGAATCCGGTCTCTGTGATACAGAGATTCCTGGAAGAAAAGAAACCTGTGACAGCTATGGAGGTGCTGAGGTCCACTGTGAATATATTAACCTAAGGATTTCATAGTAGGAGAATATTGTATACTGTATAGATCACACTCTGTGATCCACTGAGTAGCTTCAGTTGTTATACATTTTTATGGTTTTCTTTAAGTAGTCTGTGTTTTTACCTGAAAGCTTAACAATTCCTTTGGGAGTTCAGAGCCCATTGTGTCAGTGGGTATATAAACTGTGGATTCTTTGGCTGCAATGCATGTGAACAAAGTTAGTATTTTATAAAGGATTCTAAAATACTAGCTCAGTTGGGACTTTTTTTGTCCATTTATAGAAGGAGCCATATATTTTAGCAAGTTTGGAGCCTCAGCTGGTGGCAACACATGCAGTAACTCTGATGAGCCTGCAATGATTTATAACAGTAGAGGATCGAGTCCAGTAAATTAGATATTCCCTGCACGTACACAGATTACATTCATAAAGTCACCAATGTACTACAATGTTGAAGTAACAGATTATGAAATTTCTATTCAAAACACATTGAAATTCACAGATGTCCTGTACAGTGAGTAAATATAAAGCAGTGAAAGGAAAAAACCTGAAAATTATTCAGGTTATTATTACGACCATAAGCTCCACATAATTTATCATTTTTAACATGGTTTTTATTATTGCTTATTATTCTTTATATTATCCTAACACCTCTCCTAATGAAAGCAGGGCCTCATGATGCTGCAGACTGAGCAAAGCACCCAATAAAAGGCAGTATTCCCACTAAAGAGGTTACAGTGTAGACAAAGTAAGTGACAGTGTATAATAAAAGCAAGGAAAAGAAAGTGATTTGCCTGAGATAATACAGCAAGTTAGTGGCCAAAATTAGAAGAAGAATCATATTTTTGTATTCATACTTTGTATTCTATTCATTCAGTCCCACTTCTTTTGCTACAGATTGAATGCAGCTATGTAGTTCTTCCCTCCTATTAGGAGGACAGTTATGTTATATTCTTACAGCTGTGTAACACTGATATTTCCCTGGATTCCGATCCCCACACCATTCATGTTAACAGGTATTATCACTACGCAAAGAAAGGTTCAGACTGAATGCATGTTTTAAGCTGGTAGATTTATAGGCAAGTACAAGTGTGACTGAACAAAAGATCCACTACTTCCATCCATCTCACCACAAAATGTTTCTCCTTCAGGAAAGAGAAATGGTTAAACTGTAAAACTTCTGACACAGTCTGCAGCTCTGGTACTTATGTGCCAGTGTCTTGTCATCAGCTCACATTGTAGAGCTCCTGTGCATCACCGGTATGGGTCTTCCTTGAAACTTGACTATCTTTTTCTCATCAGATAAGTGTATGATGACAGTAAAATTTGAATGCTATTAATTGGAGGTTGTTCCATAATAATAGCCATTTGTATGATGCATATGTTTTCATCCCTTTGGAATGAAAGGGATGAATTCCACATTCCCTGTGGAGTTCAAGCATAGAACTGTTACCCAGAAAGTGTTTCTTCTGCCCCAAATTGTGTCTTGCTTCTGATTAATCTAGATTTTCACTCTCACGCCTGGTTCTCTTTTCAGCTTTGGTATGATTCATGATGGAGAAGGAAATCCTTGTAGAAAAGCTGAGGGTAATATTATGTCTCCCACACTCACAGGAAACAATGGAGTGTTTTCTTGGTCTGTATGCAGCAGGCAGTATCTCAACAAATTTCTCAGGTAGGTCAGATGTAAATCTGGGCCGGTGCCAGGGAATGTATCTTTAGTACTGGGCTTGAACTCTTGAACAGACATAAAAATTACTTAAGTGTGAAATTCACCTCTTTTAAAATGTGCTCAAACCCGTGTACTATTTGAGCCCACACACTTGGACTTATGAAGCGTATAGGTGGTATGGCATATAAGTGTTTTTGTCCTGCCTCATTTCAAAAGAATGAATTTCACCCTCCATGAATATCCTGCAGTAATGACTGGCATATCATTCTTTCCCAGGCAT